AGAAGCGGTATCATTTTTTCTACTAAGTCACACAAATAAGACAGACAGTAGTAAGTTTTTGTACTAAAGGAACAATGCACATCTTATCTATATCTATATGTGAATTGAAATGTGCACACACAACATGCCGCATGTTTGATCATATTTGTATTAGCCCAGTGCTGTGGTTCCATTTGTACTGCACTGTAAACACAAGCAGTTTTTGTGCTCTCTCGTTAGCTGTAATGGAAAACAATGTTGGTTCCGAGCTTCAGTCTGCTGCTGCTCATCAGAATCACACCTCATATGGAAATGACTGCATCTCATCTGCCACCACATCCCCACTTATCCTCTTATTCATGCAGCGGTCACAGTCCAGTGGGCTGCTGGGAAAATGAATACATATTTATGCCTCTGAAAGCGCAGTCATTGCTGACTTAGTGGGCACACACACACACAGCCAGAGACAGAGACATATGGAGACACACACAGGAGGCGGGCAGTGTTGTAATGCAATGTCCACACTTGCATGAGTGCAGAGATGAGAGCAGCCAGCCATCAACAGCCTCCACTCATACACACACACACACACACACACACACACACACACCATGCACAGTAGTAATTCTTTCATAACATGGTTAAGGCACTACTCCAACTACAAAGTCGTCCTGCACATTCTTACATGTAGTTATTTAAATCAGTAAACTGTAAGACACTAATTCAACACAGATTTCTGCTGTCTTGTTATCTGAGTTGTTGGAGTTTCAGTCCTTTGGTGGCCAACAGTGTCCTCCAACAGCAAACCATCACCTGAATGACTGAGAATTTGCACGGACATTATAGTATCATGTTTTGCAGAACAGTATGACACACACAATATGACATATACAGTACAATGTGCTGCATTACGGTGCCATACAGAACAGTGCAGTAGCACTCGGTACAACACATATGACAAGTTCCAATACAAAACAACACATTAAGATACTACTGTGATGATATGCCACAATCCAACACAGTACTGTGTGATACCAAACTGTATGTTGTAATATAATATGACATTATCGGATAATAATGATTAAAAAAATCATTTAATTTGCAGCTGTCAAAATAATTCTTTAATACAAAAAACACAAATTGAAATAAATGTATACCACCATAATCAGGTTGTCAGATTAAAAATAAAATGGCCCCAATAAAAGTAAAAACTAATTCAAACAAATTTTATAAATAAAACATATAAAATAAAGCAGGAATAATAACATCAAACCAAATGGAGCTAGAAAATTTAATCAATTGAAAAAAGAAATCCTTTAAAAGATGTTACTGATTCTGCAAGCTTCAGATGTTCATGCAGGGAGGTCCGGTACACAGGAGCCCGGACAGGAGAGACCTGCCAGAGCATCTGAAGCTGCGCTCATAGGGCTGCATCAAGGCCATGATGGGCTTTAAAAATGATCAGTAAAATCCTTTAATCAGCTCTAAAACTGCCCGGTGACCAGTGCAGAGGCTAGACGAGTTATGTGAGCATGTCTCTTTGAATCAATTACACAGTGCAATACATGACAACATGACACCGTGGCATCTGGTTCGATATAATGCAAGTCAATACGATTTGACACTTATAACATAATACAGTACGATAAGGTACAGTATATTATGACACAATAGAACAGTAGCATACAATATCATACCAAACCTTACAGTTACACTCCTAAAAAGAAGCTGGCATTGTGTCTAGCTTTATCAGACACGCTGCTAACACCATGTGACACCATGTTGGATTTCCATGACAGCATATATTATCAAGGAACTGAAAAGGGTTTGTTCTCACCTAACAAGCTTAGATCAGCTCGTTCTTTTAGATAAATCACTGGTGACATGAGAACATTGCCAGCTCATTCAGGTAACACCAAATCAAACAGCTATGGCATGTGACTGTGAAATGTCCCGCAGAAGTGTGGTTTATTAATAATAGCATAATTTTCACTGACAGCCCTAAAATAAAGTTTTCAGTTTATGGAGATAAACACAGGTGACAAATAAAAGAAAAACCCACCATGAAGTGTCTCAGTGAGGTGCTGGACCACCATGTGTCACCAGAACAGCTTCAGTGCACCTTGGCATTGACTCTCCAAGTCTCTGGACTCTGCTGCAGGGACAGACACCATTCTTATAAAAGATATTCCCTCACTTGGCGTTTATGGTGGTGGAGACCCTGTCTGACATCGCTCCATAGGTGCTCAACTGGGCTGAGACCTGGTGACTGTGAAGGTCACAGCATATGATTCACATCATCTTCATTTTCATCCTTTCCATTCAGGATAGAAAAGTCCTCATGCCATCACAGGATACAGATCCCTCAGAACAACTTTGTATTGATTTGCAATGACCCTTCTCTCTAAGACCCCATTTAGGCCTGGTTTCAAAATGTGTCCTGGGAAATCGGATCACAAGTGGACAGGTCTGAATACAAGTGTAAATGACCACCAAGACAGATTGTGATCCGATCACTGAAACCACTTGCCAAGGTGGTCTGGGACGCATTTGACCACATATCTTAACATAAATACTAATGTGTCCTGATGCATCTCCAACAAGGATGTCATCAATGCAGGACATGGAGGCTGTTTTGGTGAGAGTGTGCCAACTCAAAAAAAAAGAAAAAATGCTGAGAAACATCTGATACAAATCCATCAATGTATTATGAAAGCTTTCATAGTGCATCCATGTACAGATCTGACACTTGTCTTCTCCTTCTTCTTTGATTAGGGAGACTGCCGGTGCTTGTCTAGTAACAGGCTGATAGAATAATTGTACCAGTGGCCTTTCAATATTTAAGCAGAAGTGTTGCAGCAGTAGTGAAATGTGAAGACAAGTGGTCAGCTGGGCACCTTGGAGACTCATGTATATTGACAGGTGTAAATGGCGACATGTCTCGGCTGTCCACTTGTGCTCAAATCACTGAGATGCCTTTTAATACCAAGTCTAAATTGGGCATAAGGGGACAAGTGGACCCGAACCATGCCAGCAGCTGCATTCATTATGTTTCTCCACTCATTTATTTTGGTTTTTCCTTTAATTAGTCACCAGCATGTATAAGTGGATATACAGTATAGCTTGAACGAACACCCGAGAAGAGAAAATATGGCAAAAAGAGCAGATACAGCAGTAGGTCCATCATTCCCATCCGATTAACAAGTCCTGGTGCACTTACAGTGGGTACGGAAAGTATTCAGACCCCCTTAAATTTTTCACTCTTTGTTATATTGCAGCCATATGCTAAAATCATTTAAGTTCATTTTTTTCCTCATTAATGTACACACAGCACCCCATATTGACAGAAAAACACAGAATTTTTGACATTTTTGCAGATTTATTAAAAAAGAAAAACTGAAATATCACATGGTCATAAGTATTCAGACCCTTTGCTGTGACACTCATATATTTAACTTAGGTGCTGTCCATTTCTTCTGATCATCCCTGAGATGGTTCTACACCTTCATTTGAGTCCAGCTGTGTTTGATTATACTGATTGGACGTGATTAGGAAAGCCACACACCTGTCTATATAAGACCCTACAGCTCACAGTGCATGTCAGAGCAAATGAGAATCATGAGGTCAAAGGAACTGCCTGAAGAGCTCAGAGACAGAATTGTGGCAAGGCACAGATCTGGCCAAGGTTACAAAAAAAAATTTCTGCTGCACTTAAGGTTCCTAAGAGCACAGTGGCCTCCATAATCCTTAAATGGAAGACGTTTGGGACGACCAGAACCCTTCCTAGAGCTGGCCGTCTGGCCAAACTGAGCTATCGGGGGAGAAGAGCCTTGGTGAGAGAGGTACAGAAGAACCCAAAGATGACTGTGGCTGAGCTCCAGAGATGCAGTCGGGAGATGGGAGAAAGTTGTAGAACGTCAACCCTCAGTGGAGCCCTCCACCAGTCGGGGCTTTATGGCAGAGTGGCCCGACGGAAGCCTCTCCTCAGTGCAAGACCCATGAAAGTCTGCATGGAGTTTGCTAAAAAACACCTGAAGGACTCCAAGATGGTGAGAAATAAGATTCTCTGGTCTGATGAGACCAAGATAGAACTTTTTGGCCTTAATTCTAAGCGGTATGTGTGGAGAAAACCAGGCACTGCTCATCACCTGTCCAATACGGTCCCAACAGTGAAGCATGGTGGTGGCAGCATCATGCTATGGGGGTGTTTTTCAGCTGCAGGGACAGGACGGCTGGTTGCAATCGAGGGAAGGATGAATGTGGCCAAGTACAGGGATATCCTGGACGAAAACCTTCTCCAGAGTGCTCAGAACCTCAAACTGGGCCGAAGGTTCCCCTTCCAACAAGACAATGACCCTAAGCACACAGCTAAAATAACGAAGGAGTGGCTTCCCAACAACTCCGTGACTGTTCTTGAATGGCCCAGCCAGAGCCCTGACTTAAACCCCATTGAGCATCTCTGGAGAGACCTGAAAATGGCTGTCCACCAATGTTTACCATCCAACCTGACAGAACTGGAGAGGATCTGCAAGGAGGAATGGCAGAGGATCCCCAAATGCAGGTGTGAAAAACTTGTTGCATCATTCCTAAAAAGACTCATGGCTGTATTAGCTCAAAAGGGTGCTTCTACTAAATACTGAGCAAAGGGGCTGAATACTTATGACCATGTGATATTTCAGTTTTTCTTTTTTAATAAATCTGCAAAAATGTCAAAAATTCTGTGTTTTTCTGTCAATATGGGGTGCTGTGTGTACATTAATGAGGAAAAAAATGAACTTAAATGATTTTAGCATATGGCTGCAATATAACAAAGAGTGAAACATTTAAGGGGGTCTGAATACTTTCCATACCCACTGTATAACTTTGCAGGGTGAACTCGAAGCAAATAAAGAAAATTTAGGTGCGATCATGCTCAGCAAACACTGTCTAAATGTGTGACAACATGTGGAGATCTATCTGGTTCCTTAGAGAAATCACACTGTGTGGAATTATATTTAAGATGTTAATTAAACCACAGCCAGTGGTATTTTAGTAGTGCTGAGATGCATATGAATCACCTCAATCATCACATTATTATTTTTTTGTGATCTGTTTGTGTGGCTGCACCAGACACCTCTGTCTCTCTCCCGTCCTGTACACTAACTGCCTTCTTTATCTCTTGTTGTCTTTCCCTGTCTGCCTTTACTTTTTGTAATTCTCTTAGCGTCTGGTATTGTCTCCTGCACCCTGTTGTCCAGCTCCTTTGCACACATTTCATCTTGTGATTTGCTGTGCTACAGTGTGTGCAATATCAGTTATTTCAGTTCCTGACCTCAACTCCGCCTCTCCTCTTTCTTGTTGCTGCTGTGCTCTTTCTTGATTTAAATTCAAACTGGCCTGCATGAGCTTAGCCAGTCAAATGTTCTGCATGTTTATTTATGGCTGAGACCTGTCTGACATCAAATGCTGCTGTCCTCTCTGTCTGCCTATAACCGAGTTCAATCTGAATTAAGATGAGCTATGATCTCCACAGCAAGTCTTACTATTTTACTTGTTCATCTTTATATTTTAGTACGGTATACTTTCATTTACTAGCTGGAGATTAAAGGGTCATTCTGGTTTGTTACACAGTGGAGCAAAACTTGTGATCTAGTCGAGGCAGCCATCTGCAGTCTGCTGCTACACTCCCTTGTCTCTCTCTTCTCACTGCAGCACATATCCAGTGCACCCTGTTGATGTACTTGAGATGTCACTGTTGTGCTTTCTGTTTTGGTGCCACATCGCTCACCTGAAAGCTATGCTGTCACTTGCTGCTGCTGTTCATAGAGCATTTCAAAAGCCCCACCCCCAACCCCAGCATCCACCTGTAGGCACTGAATCACTGTTGTCCCAGTGAAAAGTTATTTTTGTGCTCACTAATGTGCAAAGCGTAGTGCAGCCTTGCAATGGCATCAGAATACTAAAATACGAATGCTGTACATCTATCTGTACATCCACCTGGCTCACAGTGTCTTACTGCATTTACACCACAAGCCACATTGACACATGTAACGTACAGACTCACTCTTTGGAAATGTGACAGAATTATATTTTTAGCCTTGAAAAAAATAAGTTGAAAAAACGAGGAAAAGGGGAAAAACCAGGGCAGCTGGGTACTGGCCGCACTATGAGCATTAATTTTACTTAATTTGAAACTGCCTGGTGAACCTGAAGGAAAATTTGATCTTCTCTAAATGTCAAAATGAGAAAAGGTCCTAGAGCCATGCAGTACACTGAGGAGGATTTGGGCTTTTCCAGTGCATTAACAATCTTCCATGAGCAATGAAAGAAGAGAAGTCCAACACATCAGCCTTGGCTTATGTGTGGCGTTGAAATTAGAGGACTAGGTATAAAGACACATCAAGGATTTGGTATGAACCTTGAGTGAAATTTAATTTTAATGAGCTACTGGAGCTTCTTTATATGTGAATGAGTTCCTGCCACAATTGTGCATGCACATCAATTTTTGGTACAAAACAATGTGATATCAACATGTTCCCACGTCTCAGCGATAAACTACAGTAAATGTGTTCATAACCAATATAAAACAAAAACATAGCACTGAAATAAACTGAACATTTCCTTTGTTTTATTGTCTGTCCTCTATGGCTGTATATTTTGATCAGTGAGGTTCACTACAAAATGATCTAATCTTACATCTTTTGGCTGTTTTCTCCTGCAGTGATCGTGGTTCTGTTCACGGCATTAAAGCGCCAAAGGAAGCAAGAACCTCTCATCATCTCCAAGGAGGATGTTCGAGATAACGTGGTGAGCTACAATGATGAGGGCGGTGGCGAGGAGGACACCCAGGCATTTGACATCGGAGCACTGCGACACCCGGATGCTGCCGCCGCCTTGGAGGAGTCTGCCAAACAGAGGCGTGACATCATCCCCACTGACACCCTGCTGTATGCACCAAACGGCCGACCTGCCCCATCCGCCTCCGGCCTCATCGTGTCGCCGGTCAGCATGGCGTCACGCGATAACGGGGATGTTCGTGAGTTCATCAACCAGAGAGTCCTAGAAAATGACTGCAACCCAACAGCGCCGCCGTATGACTCACTGGCCACCTATGCCTACGAAGGCGCAGGTTCAGTGGCTGAGTCACTGAGCTCACTGGGCTCAGCTTCATCTGAGGCTGAGCAAGACTACCACTACCTGAGTGACTGGGGGCCCAGGTTCAGGAAACTAGCTGACCTGTATGGAGCAGAGGACAGTGACTTCTCCTAACAAAGATACCACAAACATACACACTTTCATGTCATAGACAGGTTCAGTACCATTTTGATCAATGCAGGGCCAATGGAAACAACATCTAACTACAAACTCAGTATTATTGTGAACATTGCTGTTGAGCTTTAAGAGAACGTGAGAACTTTGAAAAATACAGCCAACACACACTCAACTAACAGATGTGCTAGCAGATGTTAATTCCATTTAATAGGATATTCAAGAATGCCAGCTGACCTGCCTTCACTACATGTGGATCCAAACATGGAGCTTAAAAAGGGGCAAAAGCCCTAAATATCTGTTTTTGGGAATGGAAACTTAATGGATGTAGAAATGTAAATCAACCAGCGCAATGGTGGAGCCAGTGTCAGACTCACTGAGGCCTAAATGGAGTTTAGAATCAAAATTGAAGAACTGTATTTTGTATGGAGAATTGGACCTTTAATACTTTCAGGCTTTGCTTTAATATTTCCGTGGTTACCAAATAACCATTTTGTAAAGTGTTATCTGTGGCTTTACATGTTATTGAAGCCAAACTGTGTTTGGAACCAGGTCAGTTGACAAAACCCCAGTCTAGTTATTTCAGGACTAGACCAGACACAATAATCAGTGCAGACACTGTATGAAGTGAAAATTGTGGGGAAGACTTTTTTTTGTACTAAGTGCCCTTCTGCTGCCCATCGAGCTGAACTGTGGATACCTGTAAACTGGCTGAGACTGGGGGGGCGGGACTAGTGACTCTTATATGATTGCTTTTTGTCTTTTTTGCTGTCTTGTACAAAATAACCATTCCAGAGGAAGGATCCTGAGCTGAAAATCATCTTCTTTAGGAAACAATGTAAAAAGAAGACAACTCATATGGCTAAATGCACTGACTGTTTAAGCAGGTTTTTAGATTCTTTTTAAAACTGATTTTATTATGCTGCACACAAAATGAAGATACTGTATGCTCATGGCATCATTTCTAGATTTTTTGCTTCTCGATTAAGTGTATATTTGGTCAGAACTGTGGAACTGAACTGAGTTATATTGGAAGTATGTTAAGTTCTATACATTTTTAATTTTGCTGGAATTTTTTTCTCAAGGCTTGCTTATTGGGTTTTCAAAAAGGTAACAGGCCAGTATCCTCATCTGGTATCAAGTCACATGTTTGGAGTTTGTGTTTTAAACAGGGTAATGTCACTGAGAACAGGAACACACTGATCACATTGACACCTGGAAGCTGCCCAGGACAACTGCAGTCCTACCTGCAGGGCACTGAGCAGCTACACTGGGAACAAACTTTCCCAGTCGGATTTAATCCTGCTCCAGGGTCTGACCTCCTGGTCACACAACTTTGCTAGTCATCACTGCCCAATTTTAATAAAGCAAAATACAACCTCACATATGATATTGACAACCACTGAAAAGTTATACAAAGTATTTTCTTTGGGAATATTCTCTATATTTACATGAAGGACATAGGGTAAATTCCGACTAATGTTCAAACATAAATTAACTAAGAGCATCAAGCTATTTGTAAGGCAAACATTGTGATTTTGGTGAAATATTAAAGCTGCATTAATCTGTATTTTTATAATGAATCAAATAACTACATGTAACGTAGGTAGTGGCCAGGTAGTGTGCACTGGGTTTCTACACTAAAAACCAACACCAAACAGCAGACAGTGTTAGTGACTAGCTGGTAAACAGAACGGGTACAGAGTGGAAGATTTTGATCAGGGGTTGGTGGATACCTAACCAGAGTTAAAAGGAGAGTGAATGTGAAAATTACATTCATCAGGTGGACACAAATGTAACTCCAAATGGACGCTAATGTTTCTCTCAGTGTGTGCTAAATGAAAGTGACAATTTAACAATACCCTTAATTAACAGTAGTAACATTTTGGAAATTAGGCTTTCCCAAAATTTGCTAATTGCCCACAGTTAGATTGATATCACTTAGCTTAGCACAAAGACTGGAATGGTGAAAATGGCTAACAGTACCTGCAGTACCTCAAAATCTTCCAAATAAACACAACATAACTTATGTATTGCATTCACCTATCTAAATGTAAGAACCTTTGAGGCTAGATGCAGTTACTCACTAGACCGGTTGTCTGGCATCATCCTGGACAAAAACGCAGGTAACTACTATAGCAAGACATGTCAAGTAGATCATCATGACACCAAACCACTGAGTGGAAACATTTTTGGATTCACCACCATAGATTGTGGAAAATTGTGAATTAATGTACTCCTGTTTGATGCAGCTACCTTACAGCAACATTACCATGACAACAAACCCAAAGTCGCCTGTCTGCTGATAAGTCAATAGACAGTGGATGCTCTGCAAATGAACAAAACCCCATCAGTTTTAACATTGCCCTAGGATTAGACTGTGTGGGTTGCATACTCTATACATTAATCCCAACAAATGACCTGTTCAGAGTAGATTTATTTAAAAGTGACAGCCCTACTTCACAGTCAGTATTGCAACTTGAATGAATTTCAGTGACTGGTAATCTCATTTTCAGCTCCATTTTATTTCCTGCACATACCAATTTTCTTCCATGTACAAGGTATTCTGGTGCAGATTTCGCTTTTGCTGCTCAGGCAAAAAAAAAAACAATTTTCTGGTTCATTTGCTCAGCCCACTCTGTCTCATTGAGAGACAAGAAGTTTTGTTGTTAAATGTTGTGATTAACCATCACAAGGCAACATATATTTCATTTGCTTTGACGCCACACTAATCACTGAAGCAAAAGGTAAAAATCACAAGTCAACATCAGTGCTATGTAAAAAAAAGTTTCCAAATGAGGAATGAAACTATGTGGTCAGAATCATTATTGATTCAGACTTTTTGTTATTCTGATTTGATATCAGGAGTTTGCATTGTGTTTTTGGCAGTTCCAGTAAAAGCAGCAGTTTGTTCCAGTTGTGTTTTGTGACTGTGGTCTGCTATGAAGGCTTAAAACAAAAATGTTCACATATTTTTCTTTAAATTGTAATTCATTCTTTTTGTACCAAATATTTATAGGGCAAATTATAATATTATTAGAGGGGGAAAAATCCAAATATTGCTCCGCTTAACTGTTTTTAATGTAATTTTGGAGGTGTGAAACTTGCTGTGGGAAGTCTACCGTCCGTATATGATGATGTATTATCAAGTTGTTTAATTTTATCAAAATAAACTTTTACAGTTAAAATTTCTTAGCTTGTTTTGTTTTTATGACTAACGCCCACATGAAAGCAATTTTCATCATTGTCACTGTTAAATTTGTCTCCTCTGCTAACCATGTGGAAAGTGCTACTTCTAAAAAATTGTTGAAATGTATTTGCACTGAGAAGGAAAAGTACATAAAATAACACTTTTGCTGATCCACTAGTTATTTCTGTCACCTCCAACAGCAGAAAAAATACTATTCTAAACTCAGAAAAAAAGGGGAAAAACTCCTGTATAAATAATGATTCACTTATTTTGCTTCTACATAATTTGCTATTGTGCCACCAGCCAGTGTTACTCAGGTTAAAGTACAGGTGCCATATATAACACATTTGACCAAGGCTGGATTACCAACTGGGAAAAATGGCATCTAGCTGGGACCCCAGACCCTCAAGTGGCCCATTGGCTTCAGATTCATCATGGTAATCTGATGCAAATTTATTTGTGTCCTTTAAGTTCCTGGGCTCCACTGTCTCCCAGGACCTGAAGTGATCATCCAACATTAGCAATCCTGGACTGGAGCCAATCCTGGCTGGCAGTCGGGCGAAGGCGGGGTACATCCTGGACAGGTGACCAATCCATCGCAGGGCTAACACATAGACAAACAACCACACATGTGCACACGCACTCCTATGGGCAATTTAGACACCAATCAACCTAAGCTGCATGTCTTTGGACTGTGGGAGAAAGCCGGAGTACCCAAAGAGAACCCACGCAAGAACGGGGAGAACATGCAAACTCCACACAGAAAGGTCCCAGGTGGGGACCCAGAACCTTCGCGGTGTGAGGCAACGGTGCTAACCACTGCGCAACCGTGCTGCCCCTTTGTATATACAGTATCTAGAAAACTCCGTCTAAGCTACAGTATATGTATATACACCGATCAGCCATAACATTATGACCACCTGCCTAACACTGTTTACATAGGAGTCAATGTGGCAGTTGGTTGGCACTTGTGTCATTCTGCAGCTCACTGTATATCTTCTGTGAATCCATTTGCTTCCACAGTTCTACTGTTAGGAAGAGCACAGATGTGTCTACAATTCAGTGACAAACTTATGTAAAAGGAAAACTGTGGTCGTGAGGACGAGTTAGAGAGATTTTTTTAGACAAATTCAACAACCTCACCACTCTAGGTGTGATATCACCACTACAGCCCCTGACTCTTTCTCTTCATAGAGACCAATGTACAATATTTGTCATTTTCAACCATTTTAACAAAGATTCAAATAAATTTTATTCTTTTGAAAAGTACAAATGGAAGTTAAAAGTTTAAAATACAGTAGATCAACCTCATCATCAGTGAGCCGTGAGTGTCCATGACCCTGTCACCATTTCACCATTTGTCCTTAGACACTGTTGGTAGGTACTAACCACTGCAGACCAAGAACACCCACCAAGACCAGCAGTGTGGGAGATGATCTGACCCAGTCATCTCACCATCACAGTTTGGCCCTTGTCAGAGTCACTCAGATCCTTATGCATGGTTGTTTTTCCTGCTTCCAACACATCAACTCTGAGGACTGAATGTTCCCACACACTGACAGGTGCCACTGTAATGAGATAATCAGTGTTATTCACTTCACCTCTCAGTGGTTATAAGTACTTTGGTTTATTTTCCTAATGCACATTCCTTTTTCTTGTTTGCATGTTCCTTACAGAAGAGCATTGTACATGTACATTGAGAGCCACTGTACCAGAATCAAATTCCTTGTGTGTCCTACACAGCTGGCCAATAAAGCTGGTTCTGATTCTGATTCTGACAAGATGTAGCATGAGTAGTACATTAGCAGAGCAGCAGTGGCTGCTTCAGTGTGGACACACTGTAACTTATCTCCAAAGGATGTTTGAAAGCTCTTGTAGAGAGACACATCTCACAAAGTGCCAGACAAATATCAGTGCTTTTGTAATAATTTGCAAAGGTATTTTTCAAGCTTTGGAATGTTCACCAACATTACAAAATATCAGCTAGAATCCAGAGATGGCCCTCTTTGTGGTGACAGAGAGCAGGTTTAGTTTATTTTTGGTAATTACCATACTGTGTATAACAATATGATTATTCACTTACTTGTGGAAGAGGGCCTGCTATTCTAGTAAGCCCCTGGATGACAGAAGTGCTTCATGATTAAGTGAATGTTTTTCCCTCTGGCATCATAATCATAGAACTGTCTGCTGCCTCTGACACAGTGAATCACCATATCTTCCTCTTTACCATTAATGGTGGGTCCAAACTACACATTATTTTTGTTTGATAAGATGGTCACTGTATCAGATTACACAAATAAAGAGTCAAGTTCATTCTGTGACTTGGATGAAGGATACCTAACAAACCTACAAATCACAGCCTGTCATCATTCAAGACTTGCATGGTGTTGTTGGACAAAGATGGCAGGGACTGGGAACAAGAATGTAAACACAAAATGCTGACTGAAGCATTGTGTACAGTCCTGAGTGTCTGTATTTGAAAAAGCATTTTAAAAAACTGTGGACTTATCTGGGTGTCACACAAAGTAGGCAAGGAGCTATTTATCCACCAAAAAGAACTTAAGTTAAAAATATCCACCAAGAAGCTTCTCAACTACCTCGGTGACTTCAGCTTGGGTGATGGACGAGTGCACCTCTGAGCCCCCGGCCTCTGCTTCCTCATCGGAAGACATGATGCTGGGGTTGAGGAGATCCTCAAAGTATTCCTTCCACTGTCCGACGATGTCCCCAGTCGAGGTCAACAACTGCCCACCTCCACTGTAAACAGTTTTGGCAGGGCACTGCTTCCCCCTCCTGAGGTGCCGGACGGTTTGCCAGAATTTCTTCGAGGCCGACCGATAGTCCCTCTCCATGGCCTCACCGAACTCCTCCCAGACCCGAGTTTTTGCCTCCACAACCACCCAGGCTGCAGTCCGCTTGGCCTGCCAGTACCCGTCAGCTGCCTCAGAAGTCCCACGAGCCAACGAAGCTCGAAAGGACTCCTTCTTCATCTTTACAGCATCCCTTACTTCCGGTGTCCACCACCGGGTTCAGGGATTGCTGCCACGACAGGCACCAGAGACCTACAACATTCTTCCATAAGGCGACAAGTAAAAAAGATAAGACTGAGAGAATAAAAAAAGAAAAAGAATGTGCATGAGGAAAAAGAACGTTTGTTTTGGTGTACAACGACCTGTAGCGCCATCCAGCGGGTGGAGGAGTTCAAACAGTTCATGTCCAGGATGTGAGGGGTCTGCCGAAATCTTCTCTAACCTCCTTTTGACCTGTGAGGTGTACATATCCTCCATGGAGCACAGGCTGGCACTGATTATCTTTTCTGTAGTCCTGACTGTCACACAGTTCCAGTGATCTGAAGATGGGGGCCAGCTGATCAGCACAGGCTTTCAGGCAGCGTGGAGTGACACCAGCTGGGTCTGGTGCCTTTGTGATCTTTTGTGTTTTGTAAGAAAGCCACATATATCCTTTTCATAGATCTTCGAGGGTGGGATCTAGGGGGAAGATAGGCAAACATGGGGGGAGCAGCTGCTGGGTCTGAGGTGAGGTGGGTGAGGAGTGTGGAGGTCTGCTTTTCAAAACTACAGTAAAACATATTCAGGTCATCTGCCAGCTGATGGTCTTCCACAGCAGGGAGGGATGGCTTCCTGTAGCCAGTGATGTTTTCAGGTTTCTCCAAATGGGATCATAGACTGAAACCTGGTTTTTCAAAGAGTAGCTCCTCATTGCTGCTCTGATCTCCCTTGACAGTGTGTTCCTGGCCTTGCTGTACTGAATCCTGTCCCCACTTCTGTAGGCCTACTCTTTGGCACAATGAAGCTGCTTGAGTTTTGCTGTGAACCAGGGCTTGTTGTTGTTGTACATGCAGAAGTTCTTGGTGGGTACACATATGATGATGTCATAGTGTCAGTAAGTTCATCCAGGTCTGTAGACACAGCCTCAAATACATTCCATTCTGTGCAGTCAAAGCAGGCCTGTAGCCTTGACTTTGCCTGATCAGTCCATCTCTTTACTGTTTTGACCACAGGCTTTGCAGCTTTAAGTTTCTGCCTATATGTTGGTATAAGATGGATGTTATTTTTATATTTTTGTCAGTAAATGACAGAGAAATGAATAAATAACCAACATAGTTGGATAAAACAGAATTACATAAAAGGTTCACACTTTTTATTCTTAGTTGAAGTCAGACAACATATAGATGATAATGCTGCTGGCATATACCTTTCTGACAGAATTTTGGGATTGATAACAGTTTTAGTTTTTCAATGTGAATGTGTGATTTTAAATTTTAACCCTGTTCTACTCTGTCTACCAGCTGTTCTGTTTTTACTGTTTCACCATTTGTCAGCAGCCAATGGGCAGTAGACTGTAAGAGCGAGTACACACCAGTCAATTTAGTTCAAGTTTCAGTGTATACATGGCCTGGTATTACTCATTGTGGGGATGTAAATCTGTTTACACAGTCACACTGGGAAGACTCAACATCCATATGGGGACAAAAAGCAGTTCCCCAAAAGGTAAATGATTACATTTTAGAGTGATAACTTGGTTTAAGGTTAGGGTGAGGTCAGGGTAAGTCTTCAGGAAATGAATGTAATGAATGTGTAATGGCCCCTGAATTGAAAACACAGTGGAAACACAGCATGTGTGTATGTGGTTATCCAGTGACAGCATTAGTGATGACAGCTGTAATTTCACCATGCCATGAGTACACCACGTGCCTCCATTAGTGCTTCATATTTTTTCTAACTGTTAATCTTTTATACTAATGTCATGTTAAGAGATAAAAAATGACAGTCAAACTCACCACCCACTCACAAAGAGTACCACACACACACACACACACACACACAAGTACACTGTGTATATTCAGAAATACAGATACAGTTTCACTCAGAAATGCATGACTATTCATTCTTCAAGGCACAGATTGAACACAGTGCTGTGC